CTGCTCCCAGATAGCCACCTGGTGCAGCATCTCATCTCCTTCCTCAAATCTCAAGTGCTCAAGGAGACCAACCTTGACCACCCAATTTAATACTGCAGTCGATCTGGCAACCTCAATCCCCAGCCCTGCTTCATTATTTTTTCCATATGGCTTATCACCTCCTTAACCTGCCGTGCAATTTACTAATTGTGTTGTCTGTTGGTTACTGCCCCCCACCTGAATGAAAACTCCACAAGGACACAAATTTGTGTTTTGTTCACTGATGTATTCCAAGCGCACAAAACAATAAGTGGCACACAAGACACACTCAATAAATACCTAAAAAAAAATTTTTTTTTTTTTAGCATTTATTCATTTTTAAGAGACAGAGTGTGAGCAGGGGAAGGGCAGAGAGAGAGAGAGGGAGACACAGAATCCGAAGCAGGCTCCAGGCTCCGAGCTGTCAGCACAGGGCCCGATGGCAGGGCTCAAACCCACAGACCGCGAGATCATGACCCGAGCTGAAGCCGGACACTTAACCGACTGAGCCACCCAGGTGCACCAATAAATATTTTTTTTTGATGCATGAATGAACTTGAAATTGGATTTAAATTATGGACCAGAGAGAGATTTGAGGTTGACAGAAGAAAAACTCAAATGGCTCAGGTACACCTTGGATCTCACTTATGCTCCTAGACAATTTAGCTACTTACAAAGGCTATTCTTTCTTTCGGATCTCAAGGAGGCTTATGTAATACGAACACCGGTGACTTTGTCCTAACACTAGCCCCTCCTAGAAACAGGTACCAAGGAAGTATGGAAGGCAGTGCCCACTATCTTTGCCTTTGCCTCTAGGTGACTCTACGCTGGGCAAGCCTGTCTCTTCCCTCTGGCTTTGTATGTCAGAGGACTGACTTGCAAATACGCCACGATTTAGGAATGGGAGAAAGCAAGTCAGTCCGGGCTAATGCTGCTGTCAGAATGCCTAATTTACTCCTGTGGATGGAGCACACTAGATGACTATCCTGGATGTCAGTGGTTGTCAGCCAGGGCCGCATATTTTAATTCCTGAGGCACTTAAAATATATACTGTCGCTGCCCCTCCCTTCTGAGATAAATGGTTTGCCTGAGCCACAGCTTGTAAAAGGGTCTCAGGTGATTCAAATGTGCAGCCAGAGCTGGGAGCCATGCATGGGGATCAACCTCATTTTCCAGATTAAAAATAAAGCCCAGAAAAAAAATGAGATCTAAGGTCACATAACTGAGTGGCAGTGTTAGGACTGGAAACTGCTACTTGATTCTTTAGAGAAACAGCAGTAAAGGAGAGATATCATTACAATATAATAATGCATGAGGCTATGTATTACAGTAGTTGAGTGCTAATATTTTCGTTAAAATCATGGCATCTATGTTCACAAATGAGAAAGTTTCTTTACCGGCAACGATCTTTAGAGGTTTGGATCAGGGTGTGTTTAGCTAGCCTTGGAATGAATTCGGCACACTACCTCTCTTACTATACTCTAAAATCTTGTGTAAACATTTCTTCCATCATTAAAATAGCTGGATGAACTCCCAGGAAAAAAAAAAAGAAGATGATGACCACGACAAAGACCTCTAATGTCTTTCTCTGTCAACCAACTTTGCAACTTAAAATTTTTTTGGTTTAAAAAACTTTGAGGAGTGCCTTGGTGGCTCAGTTAAGCATCCGACTTTGGCTCAGGTCATGATCTCGTGGTTCGGGAGTTCAAGCCCCCTTCGGGCGCTCTGCTGTCAGCACAGAGCCTGCTTCAGATCCTGTCTCCCTCTCTCTCTCTCTGCCCCTCCCCTGCTCTCTCTCTCAAAAACAAACAAACAAACAAACAAAAACTTTGAGTGGGAATGACTGCATAACAACGAGAATATAAGTAATGCCTCTGAACTGTATACATAAAAAGTTAACGTGGTAAATTTTATGCTTCGTTTATTAACCGTAATTTTTTTTAAGAGAGAAACAGAAGAAGAAAAAGAGAACGGAGGGGAGTGAAAGAAATCTGGAGGAGGAGGTCCCCAAAAGACAAATTAACCAGTCTGAGCACCTGCTAGCAGACATTCAAGAAAAGCCTGCTGGGAGGGAGGAGCAGCTCCCTGGGCAGGGAGACCTCCAGCAAAGCGAGGCTCTGCAAAGAGCACAGGAAATAGGTCACTCTGGAAGAGTCAGAGGTCCCACCCCACAACCACACAGAGCTCAGTCTCTAATCTAAGATGTGACGCTACGCAAAGGGTGACCTTCACGCTTCCTAAGACCTGGGTTGCAGCCAAATGTCACTGCATTTCCATATCTAGGGCTCCTCCTAGAGAGAAGACAGTTAAGTTTCCTTCATACCACATAGTTCAGGATCCTCTCAATCTTGGAATTAAGCTGATGGCAATAGTTTGGTTTTTTGTTAATGGCAAATCAGCGTACCAACACTGAGGAGACAAGAAGAATGCAGACACACTCAGAGCAAAGAGCCATGAAATACCAGTGGCATGCCTCTTTGCTCTGCGGTTCTCCAAAGAATATCGTTTAGTGTTCAAAACAACCTGAGCCGAAGTTGGACGCTTAACCAACTGAGCCACCCAGGCACCCCGGGCCTTATTTTGACTGCTACTGAAAAAGAATAAAATCTACGTTGCAACTCAATGCAAGAGACACTTTAGGATCCCCCCTAGGAAGAATAAAGTGAGGAAGAGGAAGGACAGATGGGAAGAAAAGGGGAAAGAGTAGCTTACTATACCACAAGGAGTTTCGCTGATGATGACGTGGGTCAGGTCGTATCTCAGGCAAGCTAAAGGGCCCCGATCTCACTTAACACTCAAGTGCTGGGGCGCCTGGGTGGCTCAGTCGGTTGAGCGTCTGACTTCGGCTCAGGTCATGATCTCGCAGTTTGTGTGTTCGAGCCCCGCGTCGGGCTCCGTGCTGCCAGCTCGGAGCCTGGAGCCTGCTTCCGATTCTGTGTCTCCCTCTCTCTCTGCCCCTCCCATGTTCATGCTCTGTCTCTCTCAATAATAAATAAATGTTAAAAAATTTTTTTTTCTAAAAACAAACACTCAAGTGTCAACCAAAACTTGAGATGAAATATTTTACTTCTATAAAACTGATCTTGGGGCACCTGTGTGGCTCAGTCGGTTGGGTGTCAGACTTTGGCTTGGGTCATGATCTCACAGCTCGTGAGTTTGAGCCCCGCGTCGGGTTCTGTGCTGTCAGCAAAGAGCCTGGAGCCTGCTTCCGATTCTGTCTCCCTCTCTCTCTGCCCCTCCCCCACTCATGCTCACTCTCTCTCTCTCTCTCTCTCCTTCAAAAATAAATAAACATTAAAAAAAACTTTTTAAAACTGATCTTCCACTTGACTCTTGTATCTCAGGGTAGATGGGGTGAACTCAGTGTCAATGGGGTTTTTCTCATTGCTTTCTGTAGTGTTTCACCTCCCACAGCATACTTGCTGAGACAGCCAGGTGCTACAAGACAGAAACACACAATCAGCAATTCCTAAAGGACTAAGTTATGGGTTGAACTGTATTCCTCACCAAATTCACATGCTGAAGTTCTAACTCCTAACACCTCCGCATGTGACCCTATTTGCAGTATTAATTAGTTAAGATGAAGTCACACTGAAGTAGGGTGTGCCGTTAACAAAATATGACTAACGTCCTTACACACACAAAAAAATCTGCACACAGACAGGCACACAGGGAGACGGTCACAAGCCCAAAAACCGCGAGACGGGAGAAGCAAAAAGATCCTTCCCTAGCATGGCCCCGCTGACTCCTTGGTTTCACACACCTGGCATCTAAAGCTGTGAGACCATAAACACCTGTCGTCCTAAGCTTCCGGCTTGCCGTACTTTGTTACCACAGCCTGAGCAAACTAATACAGACAATAAGAGGGTAACACGCACCAAGCAGCCTACCCCCTTCACACTGCATTTCGGGTCCAGCTTCCCGCCCCACGGCCACCTGCGCCACATCGGTCCAGGCCCCACCTCCTCACTCTGGCTCTGCCTCCACCGGCTTCAACCGCCACACTCCCCTGCACACCGCCATCGCATTACCCTTTGAAAGATGCCAACTTCTCTGTGTCACTCTGGTCACAATACCTCTAGTGACTCACCAATTCCTATAGGAAAAAGTCAGATTCTCCAGATTCTCCTGACTAGCAGTCAGGTCTCTCTCTCCTAAGCTAGCTCCAACTGCTAAGTGACCCTGGAACATACAACCATTACTCTTGATGCCTTGTTTCCTCCCTTTTTGTCACTCTCCCCTTCAATAACCCAAATCTGGACCATCCCAAGAACACCACTGCCAAGACCTCGTTCACCGTGAAGATCTATATACTCATGCCCACCGCAAAGACCACATCTGTGACCTCCATGTGTTTACTGCTTGTATGAGTCGTTCTGCACTCATCAAAGACTGCCTCGCCTGATTACCCAGCATGTTAAAAGTGCACACTTTGATCCCACAGCCGGACTATGAGCTCCTCAGGGATAGGGTTCATGTTTTCCAATTTGGCGGGTATTTCTTAAAGCCAAAGACAATGCTAGAGCATAGGCTCTAGGTTCTTAAATCCTCACTGAATTAACTATTAAACACAGATCATAAAAAAAAGGCGGGGCGCCTGGGTGGCTCAGTCGGCTGAGCGTCCGACTTCAGCTCAGGTCATGATCTCCCAGTTTGTGAGTTCGAGCCCCGCGTCAGGCTCTGTGCTGTCGGCACAGAGCCTCGAGCCTGCTTCGGATTCTGTGTCTCCCCTTCTCTCTGCCCCTCCCCTGCTCATGCTCTGTTTCTCAATAATAAACAAACGTTCAAAAAAAATTAAAAATAAACATTATAAATTCTTAGTAATGTTACTTTTGGCTCTTCCTTCAACTGGGGACTTAAAATTGAACAAATGTACAAATTTCATGTAATCCTCATGGTCCCACATATATCCAAGTAATTTAAAACCTACAAGGAACAAGAGGAAAAAAACTCCTTAGGACTTTTAGTACCAAGTTACTTACCATTCTTCATCACTACATTGGACCAGACGTTTGCATTCAAGGCTTGAATGATTCGCTTTACTCCTGTAGATTCTGGGAAGTCATCTAATCAGGAAGGGGAAATAGATACATTTATACAAACATTTATACACACATACATAAATACGTGTGTATGTATGTATATATATGTGTGTGTGTGTACGTATATATGTGTGTGTGGGTGTGTGTGGGTGTATCCCCCAAGGAAGTGTAGCTGTGGATTAATTATATTATCTTGCTTATTTAGTTGGTATTTCACACTGTAAGTTACGTAATAAAGAAAAAATAAATGCAGAGCTCAGAGCTCCTAATAGGAATATCCGTGAAACTAAATCAATGAAATAAATGCACAATAGAAAAGGTTTATATGATAAAGTCATCTCTATCACCTCACAATGGAACCCACTCATATCCTCCTAAAAATGTTAGTTCCTGTTAATTACACAATCCTGGCATACCACTAGAAATACCAATTTTGGTTATTTATAGAGAATGAGTTTCCTGAAGGCAGGAAAGGTCCTCTTGGTAATGCCATAAAATCCTGTAAATGCCCTATCTTCTTCTGGGAACCACAGAATACAATCACTGTTTATAACAGGCTTTGGAGAACAATTTCCTTATCAGAGAGACACAGTTTAAGGGTGAGAAGTAAAATTACTCTAAGTGTAGGAGACAGGCAAGGGTCATTAAAAATAAAAACCAGCGGGGCGCCTGGGTGGCGCAGTCGGTTAAGCGTCCGACTTCAGCCAGGTCACGATCTCGCGGTCCGTGAGTTCGAGCCCCGCGTCGGGCTCTGGGCTGATGGCTCAGAGCCTGGAGCCTGTTTCTGATTCTGTGTCTCCCTCTCTCTCTGCCCCTCCCCCGTTCATGCTCTGTCTCTCTCTGTCCCAAAAATAAATAAATGTTGAAAAAAAAAATTAAAAAAAATAAAAAATAAAAACCAGCAACTCAGTTTTGCCGGTTTAGTATTCGTACTATCTTGCTTCTGGAATTTAACTGATACTACTCAAAATAATAGGGCAATAATCCCGGTTAGCATACTAAGAAGATGACATTCTTGGCTTGCAGATATGTGTACAATGGAAATTGAACATGAAAGACTGTATGGAAAATAATGGCAGAAAAAGTTTTCATGTGGTTGGAAGACAAAGTCTCCTAAGAGCTTACAGGGCACCATCCATGTAGAACCTGTGTCCAGTGGCCTGACCTGGCACAGAATTAGAAGTCAGAAGATCTGAATTTGAACTCAGGCTCTGTAACTTGTTAGCTATTTGATCAAGGGCAAATCACATATGCCATTCTCAAAGAAAAATGGGGCTGACACCACTCTGCATAGCCACCCCCCCGCCCCCCCGACAAAGGCTGGCGGGAACCACCAGCTAATGTGGCGCCTGAAGGACACCAGGCACTCAGTAACTACTGATGGATGGATGAAACATTTGAAAGATACCAACCTACCAACCCAACAAATACGGTGAGGCTTAAACTGAAAACACAAAGATGAATTTTATTGCCATCGTGTCTAAATGAGGAAATAAAAAGGCAGGTTTATCTTCACTATGAATAATTCTGTTCTTAAAAGAAGAATACCTCAGATGTCAGAACCAGAAGCCATAAAAAGGGTCTGAAATAAAGAGCTAGAACCAGGAAGATGAAAGCTAATCCAAACAAGCATGAATTCTCATATCTGGGGTTAGAACACACGCATACAAAGCATACAGTTTGTTTTTAAAACTTCTAGGGAGGACTTAATCACTTCGCCTAAAGATGATATGTTAAAAGTTTATTTTAATATTAAGCTAAATTAATGCAAGAGCATTGTTCAGACAAGGAGCAAGGAGATGTGTGGTGGTATAAGGGAGGAGAAATTACAAAATAAAAACAGATTTAAATAAATGACTCAAAGGTTGACTCTCAGGGGCAACACTAAGATGAGAAAATTCTAGTGCCAGAAATAAGCAATTATGTACATGTTCATATACACAAAACAAGGCACAAGTTTTAGGGGACTTGGAAAGATGTGAGAAGAGAAACTGTACTTGTTCATTTTTAGTTATTATTAAAAATGTACAGGGAGAAAAATCAGCCTTTTTATTTCATTTTTGTCCTCTTCTTCTCTGGCACGGTTTTATTTCCAAAGGTAACATTTTGGAAAAATTCTAAATAAGCCAGAATATAAAAAGATATTTCTTAATTCCTTTCAAGAAAATTAGGTAGGTTTCATGTAATGATTACTTCTATCCTATCTATGTGCTTTAATCCATATTGGTTGTGCCTTAAAATATCTTTTGTAACAACTGGCATCTTCTCGATGCTACACCCCAACTGGTCCCCTAACTACAAGCCCAGCACCTTTTCCATTTCTTCCCCATGGAACAAGTGAGAGGTCAGAGTTCATGATGCCAACACAGTCTTCACATTTCTAAACAGAAATGATCTCTCCCATCTCTGAAATACCACAGCACCAATATATATATATTTTTTTAAATATTTATGATATTCCACTTGGTAATTCAATTGTTCGTATACGTTTATCTCTTGTACTAGATTATGAGGTTTTGGTGGTCCAAAACCTGTCTTATCTTGGTAGGTCCCACAGCAGGGAGCACAAGAATATTTGGAAGCAGAGAAGGTAAGAAGAGGAATGAAGGGGGGGTGAAGAGAGATGTGGGAAGAAACAAAAGGTCCAGAGTATAGTGGAAGGCAGTTAAGTGAAAAGCTGCCCCGGGGGAAAGGAGTGGGGATTCTGGGTCTATTCGTAGTTTCAAATGTCCAAAAGACATAAAAATAGGGCTGGCATGCCCTTCCTAAGGTCCCTGGAAATTCAGCCTTAGGATATTAAGAATTCAAAATAAGGAACATTAACTATTTATGAATATAAGTCAAACCCTCTTTTTTTTTTTTTTTTTTTTTTTTTTTTTTTTTTTTTTTTTTTTTTTTGGCAGTGGAGAAAGTATAAGAGATTGGGGAAATGACTGAGATTTAAGGTAGAAATCCTCTATCTTCATCCGTAAGAAAAACACAAACAGTATTTCAAAAGTCCTAACGTGCATGGTGAAGACAAATAAATGGATTATTTGATTACCAGTAAGACCACATCAATGGGTTTTGTACAAATCTTTTCAAACAGCTGAGGAAAAAATATTTTTTTAACTTCACTTCGATTCTTCTTCCCCAAATTAAAATGCTCCCTCATCTCCGAATCCAAACGCCATGTTTCTCCCGACACATAAATACTTACCATCCTCCTCCGGCAGCTCTTCCGGACTAAGCTCTACCAATTCAAAGCCATGTTTGATACACCATTCTTGAGCTTTTTGTCGGTTTACACCTAACATGCAAAAGAATCTTCATAAGTAAAAAAAATTTTTCAAACAGAATATTGCTGCAATACTCTCCACAAATCTCAGTGCTGCCCTTAATGTCAAGGTTATTCTAAAGGCACCCAAAATAAAGTAATATAAAGAAGATGATTTCTCGGGGTGCCTGGGTAATTTAGTCGGTTAAGTATCTGACTTCGGCTAAGGTCATGATCTCACGGTTCGTGGGTTCAAAGCTTGACAGCTTGGAGCCTGGGGCCTGCTTCAGATTCTGTGTCTCCCTCTCTCTCTGCCCTTCTCCCACTCGCACTCTGTGTGTGTGTCTCTCTCTCTCTTTCAAAAATAAACATTTAAAACAAAAAAGATGGTATCTCAAACCCCAAGTGTCCGTTCATAAAAAATAAAATGTAAGTATTACAAGATTCCAAAGAGAAATAGCTGAAAATAGTTCTATACAGTAATAAAATCACAGGAAATATACTAAGTTAAGAGAACAAAAGTACTCTGCTTCCCAAGGCACAGCAACTGTATGTACCAACCGTAGCCCCGTTGGCACGCCTTACCATTTTCACATACTCTGTCACAGACCAAGATCATGACCTCAGGTAGCCATGCTTCTGCCAGTGGAAGCCAGGAGGAAACACTATCAAGACCAGATTTCTGGAGGGAGAAAAAACAAACAAACCAACCAACCCAGAAAAAGAGACATTAAGAGACCTCATGGAAAAGGTGTGGGGGGGGGGGG